GCCATCGGATACGAAATTGAACTTAGTACTTTCGCTGTCCGGGTGACAACTTCCTACTAAGGTAACCGGTGACCATACCATACCGAATCCCCAACTCCCAAGTGATTGATAGCATTTATCAATGGAGTTCGTCAACGATATCGATATTGCCGACTTATTCCATTTTTCCCGCGATATCGATTATTTTTAAAACATCGCAATAATCGAAAAGAAAATTGTTTGAATTTTGGTCACTTAGTTATAGAATATATATTATTTTATTGTTATCAATATTGATATTAGGTCAAAAACATTTCGTGATAATCTTGTTAATGTTTTTTGTATTAAAATATATTATTCAATATGAATTGAGATAAGACGAAAAATTATATTTATTGATACAAAATTCTATTCTTAGATTATTTATATTGTTGTTGTTCATATTTTTAACAAAACACGAATAAAGTAATGTATGAGGAGAATTAGAGAAAGAGATTTTTAAATTAGAAGATATACAGCAACATCTGGTTAAAACAGTATAAAATATTAACATCACTTATAATATATTTTTTTATTATTATTTAAAAGCAAAACACTGTATCTATAATTCTATTATTGACTAAAGAACTATTTCATCCATATAATATAAATAATATATAGAAGGGTGCTCAGTAAGTAAGGAAACAGTTTTCTATTGTTCTCATTGTTTGTAACAATTTACCTGTTTCCGGACTGAACATTTTGTATAATGATAAAGTCTTGTAACAAAAAACAATGTATTTCTTCTTTCCAAAAAGTAATTTGAATAATTTGTTTATTGTTAAGAGATACAGATATTATTATCCAAATATTTTTGACGAGAACGTTTTTTTATTCAATATTGCAATATCGATTTTCAAAAATATATCGTTGACGATCCTTAATAATGAATTATCCTAGTGGCGGATAAAATATGTCAAAGTGAATATTAGTATTTAAATAAAACATAAATGTCCGATATTTTTATTTTATAATAGTATTTTTATTCCAGGGAGTTTTCAACGCCAGAGATCCAAATGCCTGAACATTTCACAAAAAAAGTTTTATTTTTCCGAATAACGTTTTGCTTTTTAAACTTTCTGTAAAGTTCGGTGGTTATTTTCCAAAAGCTGATAGGTAACTTTTAGTAATTATTCAGGAAAGCAAAAATAAATTAAAAATTACAATGTTATCTTATGGAAATTAATATTTTTGAATTGCAAAAATAAACCTTCCCAATAAAATTAGCTCACAATTTTTGGGTACATAACAGATAACATCTTTCTCTGTACAAAACCGTAGCCATCACACACATTGCAGGGTGAGATTTCCAAATGCGCCTTAATTTGACATTATACGGGTGGTGTGGCCTACGTAGGATCAGGTGTGGCAGCTAATTCTCAATAACGTTTTATTTTAGCAATTAAAACAAATTTTTTTTTATTATTAAAATTTTTTTTCATGCATTGGAATAGATATAGANAAGTTTTATTTTTCCGAATAACGTTTTGCTTTTTAAACTTTCTGTAAAGTTCGGTGGTTATTTTCCAAAAGCTGATAGGTAACTTTTAGTAATTATTCAGGAAAGCAAAAATAAATTAAAAATTACAATGTTATCTTATGGAAATTAATATTTTTGAATTGCAAAAATAAACCTTCCCAATAAAATTAGCTCACAATTTTTGGGTACATAACAGATAACATCTTTCTCTGTACAAAACCGTAGCAATCACACACATTGCAGGGTGAGATTTCCAAATGCGCCTTAATTTGACATTATACGGGTGGTGTGGCCTATGTAGGATCAGGTGTGGCAGCTAATTCTCAATAACGTTTTAATTTAGCAATTAAAACAAATTTTTTTTTATTATTAAAATTTTTTTTTCATGCATTGGAATAGATATAGACTGATGCAGTGATCTGAGATCAAAATATGTTGTATAAAAATATTATTTTTATTATTACTTGTTAATATTAATAAAATAAATTTTTACATGACAAAAAACTTATATTATATCAAAATAATTAGGAAGAATGTATTTTTTAAAAAGGTATTGAAAACAAATTATCAACTACTATCGATAAGGACAAAATTTCTTTTGTAGTATATAGAGTGTCCAGTAAGTAAGGAATAGGCCATTTGTTATAAACAATGAGAACAATAAAAATCCGTTTTCTTACTTACTGAATACACTTTATATGTATATATATATCAGTGTTTAATAACCAACAAGTTTTACTTGTCTATGTACAGTATACAACACTTTAAATGTAATCCAAAGTTGGCGGAACTGTAACATCAAAAAAATTCCATAATTAGTATTTTTTCATAAAAAAATAAAAGAAAGGAAATACAAAACATTTATTTTTTGGTAACTGAATTAATATTTTATATAAATATCAGTAAAACCCTTCTTTAAATTTTAGCCCAGAGAAATTACATTACTATTATATTTTATTATACATTTTTTTTAATGACTGGTACAAGATTTGACAATTATTCAACGTCGTTATTATATGAACCTACACATGAACGATATCATTACTTTCGTTACATTTAAAAATCTAAAATAAATGTTACTGTCTGTATCCCAGACATAAAAATAATCAAACATTAACAGAGTTAGCGTTAAATAAATGACTAACAATGGTCACTGCTTTTGTCGTACAACTAATTTCCTTTTATTTACTTCTGATTATATATGGTAATTTTTCTTCTTCAATTATGAATTGCATTTACAAACATAAATATGATGAACTTAAGTTATATTAACTATGACTTATATTTTTTAATATAATTATTAGCAGAGCTTAACTATTAACGAAATAATATTATAAACTTTAATAAAGTATAAAAATATAAAACTACAATTGTTAGTTACTAAGGCGTAAAATATTTACTATAAGAAGATCATCAAGTAGGCGGAGAAACGGTTGAATTTAGTGCTGATGATTTATTTTTCCCTCATCACTTTATAAAAAATTGTAATGATCCATACATTCTTCAAAAAGTTATAGCATTATAAAGTTAAAAATATAAGAAAGAATTTTTATACAAAAATCGTATTTTTTTTTATTAACTTTGATGTCCGTTATCACAATGGCTATAAGTCGTAACATACTCAATATAATTTTTTTTTATTTAAGTACTTTTTATATATTTCACTATTTAATTATACTGTGGTGTTTTCACTAATTCCAGAAAAATTTTAGTTTTTAGTGAATTACACATGAAAATTATTTAAAATGTTTCAGAGACAGTGTGTGTTATTAAATAAGAGTCTAAATAAAAATTGCATCGTTATTTAACTTTATTTAATCATAATGAGGTAAAATGTTAAACAGTAACTTTTAAAAAAGCCAATAACTATTCAAAATTGTTTAGTCATTCAATAAATATTCGTATAAAAAAAATTTTCCGAAATTTTCCGAAATTTTCTTATCAACTTCTTTAAAACAAGTGATATTTTACAAGTTCGTGTGATATATTTTATGTATAAATAGCTATTAATAATATATTAATATGAGATTTTTAATTATTTAAATACTTTCCAAAGTTAGAGAAATATCATTTTTATGTAATTTTATAATTGTTTGGTACAGAACGTCTTTAGCAAAGTTCTAGTAGACCAGTTGTTACAAACATCGTTATTTATATTATATCGTGTGGCAGCTGATCTCCAGTGTATTGCTCTACTCACCCCTTGCCCATCCAGCACGGCAAATCAATGGTCTTCGTGTCAGTTCTGTGTACAGTTCATCGTCGTGAGTCAGTAAGTCTTTTTGTTTTATGTGTCATTCTCTTCTGTAGCAAGCGCCTTCGCTTGAATGGTAAATTGTTCGGCCATTGTACACCGTTATTCTTTTATTTGTTTATTGCACTCTTGTGCTCAAAGTTGTCGTGTCCTTAAACGCCACTAGTGATTGGGTCCTGACCATCACTAAATATCTTCATTGCCGTAATCGCTTTTCCGCCGTCTATTCTCATCTGCCATTACGTGCCTGGATCTTCACTCTGACTCGTCATACTCAGATGTTCGACACCAATGCCACAAGATCTCATACAGTCCACTCATCACTACCAACAACTTCATTTGAGTTTTATATTATTTTTTAACGTTATTTATTGTTTGTTTTAATGGAGTTTCACTATTTTGTTTATGCCGCTTTTCGCCGGCCATTAGTATTTAAGGGCCCCCGTTAACTCTTAAATTTAAGATGCTCTCTGAAGAATTTCTAATATATGTGGTTATTTGTTGTTTAATTATTGTCTATTCTCGTTACTTATTGGATGTACCGTTAGCCGTCATCCCCTAGGTGACCCATTCCCGCTTCAATAATTAGCTATTTAAACAGGCTTAAGGTAAAACGGCATTCTAGTGCGGTGTACAACTAGCCGTCCTACGGACTAGCTGCCTCGTACAAAACAATAATAATAAATAAATTGTTCTTTACGAACATCGTTTTTTAAAAATTCTATGTTTGACCATTTCTTAATTTAAAAGTTTCTTCAAATCATAAAGATACTGAATCAAGTTTCCATGGATTATTTGATATTACACTAATGTTTATTTTCAAATACATATTAGTTTGTTGTTGAATTTTGGTTGGGAAGAGCTAGTTTTTTGTGCCTATATAATATTACTGACATTTTTTGCAAACAATCAAATTATAATGACGGTAAAAATATTCTTTCGTCGGTTGGCAAGGGCCTTTACGTGTTGTTTCTCCACAAAGGAGCGTAATATAAATGGTATAGTATCTTAGCTTAGTCTAGCCCAGGTATTTTTTTAATGAAATTTAGCTTAACACGATAGACAAAAAACTTCTCTCGATATCTAGTGTTTTCACACGTACGTAGAATTAATACACCTATTTATTTGAAAATGTAAATGTAGCGTAGATTTATATATTCGGTATTAAAAAATTCATTAATGATTTTTTTTTTAATTCACTATAATTAGACTAATTATTGTTCAGTGGATAAATATTTTTGCAATTTCATGTATTATCAATTAGAAAGCACGGACTGTTACTTAAGTCCAGTTAGTAGACATGATATTCAGGATTTAGGAACTCAAACAACGACTACGTTAGAAAATGTGTCTGATGAAAGGGTAAATATTGTTGACAATAACCTTAACAAGACTCCTGAGGGATGTGAAAAGTTTGAAAAAGAGGTTCACGAAGTTGGTATGGAAGAACCTGAAATAACAGATATTGAAGGAGCAGCCATTGTGGAAAAGAGTAAGCAAAAAGAGGGTACCATAAGTTTTTTAAAAATTGTTTGAATTTAAAATTGAAATACATTTAATACTTAAATTTGTATACATTTTTATAAAAGCTTAAAAATGTTGNTTTAAAATTGTAATACATTGAATACTGAATTTTGTATACATTTTTATAAAAGCTTAAACATTTTAAGATAAATATTTTTGCAATTTAATGTGTTATTAATTAGAAGACATGGAGTGTTACTTACGTCCAGTTAAAACACGTAGATTTAAAAAAGGTACTATATGCTTCTTCGGAAAAAAGAATAATTCTGGCACGATAACTACAGATAATGGGCAATGTTATAAGTTCTATAGAGTAAGCATATTATTTTATCGTCTTCACTATAATATGACAAAACTGGGTAATCAACATTTTGACATTTTATTTTGGTTTTATATATATATTTATAATATTTTATTTATTCTAATAAAATTATTTTAACATTGAAATATTTAAGGTTTTTATTATTAATAAATCTTGAATATTTTTCGGGGAATATTAAATAATAAAAAAAATTCTATATAAAATAGTGTATTTTTGTTTTCCTCAGAATAATTAAAAATATCGAGATACACATGTAGGTACATAAGCGAACACTATCGATGAAATACATCCCAACGTTTAATATTATTTTTTTTTCAGGAAGATTTAAATTTATGTTTTGATCGACGACTTAAATATCCACAAAAAGTGAAATTTGTTGTTGATGATTCAGAGCCCAAATGGGCCTATGATGTAGAAATAATTGGAGACCCTTATGTCCAAAAGTAATATAAGATGGTTTAATACAAAAATAATCAAATTAATAGTGTTTTTTTATCTACAGGTGCTATTATTGTTTAAAAGATGATCATCTTGGTTTAGAAGACTGTATACAGTTACAGATAGATTCTTATAATTTTTACTATCCTTATATATGAAATAACAGTACAATATAAGCAGTTTGTATTATTTCTTCAGTTAATGTTTCATTTTAATTTATTATTACTTTATATTATTATTAATTATTTTCATTAATAAAAATTATGTGTTATAAAGTTAAAACTTAAGAAATAATGTATTTTAATAATATTCTATATTATTTCTAATTCGTGATCAATATATTGTCACTAATTAAAGATTCTTTTGAATAACATATTTTATATAATAAATATCAATAGATGTATGGTAAAAAAAAAATAAAAGATATCTAACAGTGATTAAAATTACTATCATAAAAAACGCTTCGATGCAAATCTATCGATATTGATAAATTTTTTAAAATTAAACGAATTATTCAAAAAGCAAAATGAACTCTTATTTCTTTATTTATATCCTGATTATTAGTTCTTAGATTAAAAAGTATAATTTATGAATTTATTATAACAATTAAATAAAGTATGAAATTGATATTTAATAATTTAGTATTGTAATTTTTATAGAGAAATTATAAAAAATTATAAATTAGATATTACTTCTATGGCAAACATTAGCATAAAAGTTAAAGTGCTTTATGCAATACTTAAAAAAAAAAAGTCGTTTGTTTCTTATAAATACATTTATTGGTCTATAAGGAATTTTCATCAAATACTAAAATATACTTTTTTAAAGCTATTTTTGAGTCTATTTCAAATAGACAATTAAAATTTCGCAAAATGACTAAATAATAACAAAATCCTTATATAACAAATATTTACGTTTGATTATTATGTTACGTACGAATAATCAATAAATATATTATAATTAAAAAAATAAGTAACATGCAGAATGTATTATGTGCAGTATATTAATATGAATAATTTTTCAAACACCAAGAAATCAAAGTGTAGAGTGGTCATCTTTTTGGACTAAATTTAATTTTTCCTTACCATATCATTTTTTTATAATAATTACCCTTCATTTGGGAACGGGTCAATATTAAGAATAATTTTGTTTGCTATTTCCTGTAGTATCATAACAAATGCCGTTTATCTCATTCAAATATAAACAACATTGATAAGACAACATTGATATGACATTATCTATACGTCATAGTGTAATTAAAGTGCAGAAATGAAATTTGTTAATGAACTTTAACTTAAGACATTATGTCATTATATGAAAAACTAGTATCTATTAATAATATTCAATACGTTGGATATTTTGCAAGCTATCTAACAATAGGTTATAACCATATAAAAAACGTCGCTTAGATCGTATGAACACATACTACAAATCAAAAGTTGTTTTTATGATGTTTAAAATTAATGTGTTGATTTATCTTTTCTATCAACAACTAGTATTTGCATTAAAGTTTTTTGTAGTAATAAATCAATCAGTAATTCAGTATACTTTTTAAATTGAGAGTTTCAAGAAAGGATTAAACAATGTATAGATTAAAGCTTGTTGACAAATTTTATAGTGCTTTAATTACTTTTAAAATACATGTACATAAAAATCAAAGTCGATTAAAACTATTAACTGAATGCATTTCATTATGTGTTGTTACTGGGAGTTTTGGGTGGTTTATTTATGAAATTCAACAGACTTATAATGTGATTAAAAATATTGTCCAGAAAGATCCTCTTTTGCTGAATAATAATAGAAGACCTCAATATATTTTTTTAAATAAAGCGACATTTACTGGTAAGTATATAATTGTTCATTTTTTGTATGTATAATTTAAGTCATTTAATTTTTAGAGTTTGATGAATACCAGATTATTGATAGTAATAGTATATTAAAACCAACAAATCCATTAGTGTATATTCTCCAGTTATGGAATGATATAAAGTACAAAAAAGCAGTTAAACTTCTGGAGTTATCCAATAATAGTACTAATAAAAAAATTTCTATTGTAGCAAATCATCATTTAGCTACAATGGCTCATCTTAAAAGTAATATTACTATATAATTACAGTGTAATCATATTATTATATTTAATATCCATTCAAAATATAGGATCTGATTGTTATCAAATAGCTCAAATGAGTAATGCTCATACGATGGTTGGATTTGCTAGAACATCCAATGTGAATCCTAATTTTTTCTTACCTCCAAAAAAATCTAAATGGTCTAGAGATGTAATAAAAACTATATTTCTAATAATATTATAAAATATGAATATATTTAAATAATTTTTCTAATTTTAATTCAGGAAACATTAAATGAAATTCGAAATTTATTGATTAAATTAAACGGATTAAGTGAGCACAAATGTTTATCTTATTTTGTTGCTTTTGCATTTAAGGTAAATTAAATTAAAATTTCAGAATTTCTTTTGTAGTTATAAATCATAATTCTATTGATTTACTATTTTTCTTTTTTGTAGGATCATACACATGAATATTTTCATCCAGAAGATGTAACTCCTGATTTTAGAAGTATGCATGTTAACAAAGATAATATATTTCAATTAAGTGTTAGTGCTCTTCGTCATCATTGTAGTAACGAAACAAATATAAATGGTGAGCACTTTTTTATATAAATATTTCTTCATTCAGCAGCTTAACTAAAAATCTCTAAGTATTAATACATTTTTTTACTATTTTAATCTTTTTTTACAAAAATTATAACAATTTAAACAAAAATAATATTACTATGTAATATTACTGAAATTTTTTACTTGGCTTAAATTTCTACTTAAGGTAGAAAACTTAAAATGAGTTAGTCTTAGAATTATTTTGAATAGAAAATTTTACAATTCTATAAGGTATTTGTAAACATTTTGATATATTATTAGTGGAACATAATATGTCAACAATTTTCACGTATTGTCTTCATAAATGAGTCATAAAATTTGTGTAGATATGATAAAACAAGGAGGTCTACATATTCTAATGGCAGTATATCAGGAATTCAAAAATGATCAAAAAATAGCTGAACAAATCAGTCAATTACTGTCAACAGTATCATTATATCAAAGTCATCTTCAAGATATTTTTTTGACTGGTAAGTTTCTATAATATGTTTAAACATTTTAGTATTTACATATAAATAGTGAGTTTTTCAAATGGTTTTTGAATCATTGATTGAACAATAATAATTGTTATAAGGTTTTTTTCTTTCAATTATAAAAATATTTATCAGTATTATGTTTAAAACTAGAAAACTCGAGTAACATAATCTAACTGAATCTAATTAACAATAATTTATTAATGTCTCAAAATTATATAATCTAACAATATTAGACTTGAATAATTTATTTATATTTAATTTTAAATAACATTAGCCATAAGTACTTAATTATTATTTTATAAATAACTTATTAAAAAGAAAAAAAAATTATTTTTTTTTTGTGGTCAAAAGGTGTTTTAAAAATTGTTATACACATATAACTAAACTATCAACTTAACTTTTGAAAATATTCCGGAAATACTATGACCCTTAAACATATATTCTTCTTCTTTTTCCTCGCCTTAATCTCAACTACTTGGGGTTAGCCACCCTTAAATATATATTAAATCTAATTTTATGTTGTGTACTATAAGTTAAAAAAAATTGTCCTGACACCTTATGTTCCATATTATTTGTTACTGTTGTTAAAAAACATGCTTGTGTTGAAATTTTTTATTTTATATTTTATTTTTCTAATAAATAGTCATAATTTTGTTAAAAATATATGGATCAATACATTTTTTTTTTGTAAGTACTTAATATATATCCCTTTAAAATCAAAATGCTAGCACACACATAATAGGGTAGTGAGTCTGAATCTCTTATAAAAATACATAAAGAAATTATACAATCAAAGCTACAATATGGGTCTATAGTTTTTAGAACAGCCTCTATTTCACTTTGTATCTCATACACAGCATAAACAACTCGGGAATGAGAATAGTAGTCGATGCATTCAAAAGTAGTTTCTACAACATTTCAGGTGACCTGCGCCTAATATAAAATAAATCAAAATAGCTATATTATATGCACGCGAATCCATAAAGTTCCTGACAAATATATATCAAAACAGATCCTGTTACTCAATAAACTTGCAAATTAAAACGGTATTCAGCGAAAAAGCTCCTCGGAAAAACAACATTTCAATAAACATTCTATTGCATTCTATAATTAAACAGCACACACAACCAGAAATATAGAGAAATAATTTCAATAATATGAAGGATAAATATAAAAACTACCAAAAAATAATATACACAGACGCTTCGTAAAAGGAGTAGGATTTGCTATAGTAAAAAACGAATTAAAATACATGTATAAATTACTAAAAAAATGTTCAATATATTGAAGCTATAGCTATTTCAACGGCAATTGACATTATTAATAGCACAGAAAATAACAAGTCTATCATACTAAATACTAATAAATTTACAAAACATTTTTAACTCAGACGACATTAAGAAAAAAATAATCAAGCAAATAGAAAAAGCTAAAAAAAAAAAAAGAAAACAATATAACAATAGTTTGGGTACCCGGTCATGTCGGGATAAAAGGTAACAAAATAGCTTATGAATTTGTAAAAAACGCTATAGAAACACACAAGAGCAAACAATATAGAGGCCATGACGTACTAGATATAAAAAAATTGATAAAATACAACACCATACAAAATTGACAAAACAATTTGAGAAAATTCAAATAATCTCAATGAAATAGAGAGTATTACAATTAAATGGTCCAGAAACTCTTCCACTAGTATTCATAATTAAAATAAAATTAATAGAATCCTTATAGGACATATACGACTATCTCATAGTTTTTTAATGTAGAGAGGGGAAGCTTCAATTTGTTGTACACCTTTATCGATCAAACTATCTCGATTTTTAAAGATTGCAGAAAATACGAAGAGACCGGAAAACTGTTCAAAATAAATCATCATCTAGCTGAAAGCTTCGGACCACACACAGAAAATAAAATTAAACTTATTAAATTTTTAAAATATATAGATTTTTTAAAACAATTATTAATATAGTTTTAATTTTTCAATAATAAATTATTAATTTTTATATAGATCTATTTACTTATGTAAAAATTTATTCGCTAATGGCCATTGTTTTCAAAGCATGTAATAAAAAAAAAATAATATGATAAACATAATAATAAAAATGATATTTTGAATCCAAATTTTAAAAACTAAAATCAATTTTTATATGCAAATAGTCGTTTTTACTAATTAATAATAATCTAAAAAATTGGTCAATATCCTTTTTTAATACACTAATGCTTTAAAAATACTTTTAAATAAGTTTTGGTAGACACGATTTATGAACATTTCTGAATTTTGCAATTAACACATAAAAATCATACTTTTTTCTACAATTTTAGTATTTTAGACAAGATTTTCAGAACATTTTCAATAGTTTAGCTGAAAAAGTTCTAATTTATATATGCGTGTTTTAAATTTTGAACGCCTCCTGTATTAGGGGAAGGTTTCAGATTATCGAAAGAAGAATGTTGGATGCAAGGGATTTGTAAAGTTTTTATAAAAAATAAAATTTAATTGATCTAAATATTTTTCAAAAAGTTATAGCAATATAAAGTTAAAAATATAAAATTGAAAATTTTAACACAAAAATAGTATGTTTTTAAATATAGTTTTTTTTTAATAAAGTATATTATATAAGCTTTAATTTAATATAAATATATGTGTATATAAGGGTGTTAGGATTTCCGCGATATTATCAAAAGTTAAGTTGAAAAAGTTAATTCTTCATGTAAAAGTTGATATTTGGAATCACTTCCTGTGTCAGTTAAAAAGTCCAATTTCTAAGAAGAATATTATTAAATAAAAAGGAAATACTTAAGTTATGTACTAAGCAATTTTTTTCTTGTTTCGTTCATTTTTTTTAAATTTATGTTAGTTTTAAGTAAAAAAGTCAAAAAAATATCAAAATTTACCGATTTTCAAAATCGTAATTTTCTTGGGAATTTACCCCATTTACCGGGAACGAGGGATTTTTTTCAATTTTTGAGTATAATGTCTTCAACTAGATATAATTTGTGATCTTTTGACCTATCGTTGAAAAGAATTGGTTCAATGGAAAACGAAATAATTTCAATTTTTTTTTAGTTATTTATGTTTACTTTTTAGGACAAATGGTACAGTTATACAATTCGGTAGGATGGAGTACTCTATATAACATATAATAAATACTTTAGTTTCATATACTTCTTAATTTATAAATTATAATATTTCTTTAAATTTATCCTTTATAAATAATAAGTTGTGAACTTAATTTTTTTATATGGCAATATACTTATTTATCTAGCTTATAAAATAAGAATTATCTAGTTAAGAAAATTACTGGTTGATAACAGCTTTTGAAATAGTACTTTAGAATAATAAAAATAAAATAACACACTTGGTCTCTACTCTATATTTTAAAAATTTATATTTTTTAAAGTAATGAGTCAAAAGCTGTTATCAATCTGTCATTTTCTTAATTAGATTATTTTTTATTTTAGAACCTATTTAAACATTTATGTTTAAAAAATGAATTTGACGCCCTTACAATGCATAAAAGATGAATTTCAAATAAACTTAATAATCGAGAAATATATAAAATAAAAAATACTATAAATAATTTTCGTAATATTATTGTTTTAAGAAAAATTGAGTGTATAATGTTAAAAGAATCATTCTGTATTCAACAACTAAATAACTTTTTATAATTTCTCCGTAAAAATTGTAATGTGAAATGATTAAATATCAATTTAATACTAAATTTACTACTTCTAAATCATAAAACTTGTAATCAGAATATAAATAAGGAAATACTAGTTGATGTTGCTTTTGGAATAATTCAATAGTTCCTTCTAAAAAGTAAACACTATCTACAGATTTGCATCATATCGTTTTTTATGATAGTGATTTTAATCAATATCAAATAACTTCTATACTAGATCCAATTATACTACGTCCCCTCTGTGCTGAGATTTTTTTTTAATGAATTTTCTCACAGGAAAATATTATAAACATTTTCACCATTGCTAATAACTTTTCAAGAATCATATAGTACTTAAATTAATTTAAATTGTAACATTCTTATAAATTTTTCAAAAATATATTTTTATTTATATATTAAGATGATTATGTAATAATGCTTTGCATAGTTGCATGTTTTTACTATTTTATATGTATAAAAGTTATTTGTATATCTTTTACAGGATGGATCAGTGTGCTTTACGAATGGAAAAATCATAGTAATTTTAGAATTCAATCATGGGCTAATAGAACATTATTAAATTTAGATAAGAGAGATTATGTAAATGGAAATAATGTTTATGGTAAACAAACAGTGTTGTTACATCCTAAAAATCGCTGTCAGCAAGATGCAAAAATAGATGTAATTCTTGTACATGGTCTTCTGGGTGGTGTTAGTTTCTCATGGCGTGCAAGAGATATAAACATTAATCAACCAATTGGTATTTTTGGTGTGTAAATAAAAACTTATTTAATTTTTACCTAGTAGTGTACTGTTTGAAAATATTTTAATAGATTTTGTATAGGTTCAAATATAAATTAATTAAAATTTATTTTTAATCAGATATTAATAAAACTTCAAATGATCTCTCTTTTTTTAAAAAACCTGTTGGAGAGGCAATGCAAGATTACTTAGAAAACTATTCTGAAGTCAAAGATCAAGAATGGGATGAAATTGGTAACAATTTTGAATTTATATTAAAAGATTTGCCAATTTCTGATAATATAAAAGGAAATGAGCTCTATACTTTAGATGGGTGGGTATATTATTATTTTTTAAATTAACTGTTTTACTCTTTTAAGTGAATGAATATTTTACTTAGGCAAATTACTAGTGTTAGAAAAAATGCATTGAATGATAATTTAAGCCAATGTTGGCCATCTGATTGGCTACCTACTGATGTTGATGGACTACGCGTAATTGGTGTTGATTATAGTTCAACTTTATCTGAATGGCTACCTTCATGTCCTTTAAAATCTAAAAAGTAATATGTTCCTTCTAAATTTGTGTCATTTATTTATTGATAAATGTAAAATATAATATATTTTACATCTAATACAATACATTAAATTGTATTTGAATATATTTTAACTAATAGTCAACGAACACTTGAGGGGCGAACAGAAAAGTTAATGGAACAACTTTTGGCTATTGGTGTTGGAGATAGGCCTGTTATTTTTCTAGCACATTCAATGGGGGGACTTTTAGTGAAAAAAATGTTGGTTACAGGTAATTTTAATTTTTAAATAAATGTTAGAGTAATAATTATTAATTTACATGTTATTCGTAATAATAGAAAATTAAATATTTCTACTTGTGCTGTTATTAAAACAATTTTTTAGCAAGGAATAGCACAAATCCTGATGTAAGGAAAATTTTTGAAAAAACACGTTCAGTATTTTTTTTTAGCACACCACATCATGGTTCACCTTTAGCAACTCTTAATAGTGCCTATAGGTTCTTTTTGTGGCCATCAGTTGAAGTTGATGAATTAAGAACAGGTTTGAATAATTTTTTTTTATTTTAATTAATTTTTATAATAAATTTTAAATAAGATTTTTAAATTTTAGATTCTCCAAAGCTACTCTCGCTTCATAATGAGTTCCTTGATTGCTTACGAGAAAATCCAATGAAAATTGTAACTTTTGCTGAAAGCCTTCCAACTGAGTTTACTGCTTTAAAAGTACCTATATTGTGTGTTCCTATAAAAGCAGCTGGTAAGTATTAGATACTTTTAATCTCATAATTAAATAATTATAGTATTAAATTATTGAATATTTTATGTTCAATGATGGTGCATTTTATTTTTAATTATAATTGACAGAAATTAACTCATATTTTTTGTTAGGCAAAAATAATATACATTGTATTACTGAATGTATATAGTTTTATGTTATGTATAGCTTTAAATATTAAATATAAATTGTGAATGTCATTACAAATCACTTTACTAACAACTTTTCACTTTAATACTTTTTCTGTCTTAAAAACTGGATCAATTTTATTTGTATATTAATAAGTAAACCCAATTAGTGTAGACAAAGACAATTTTTCAAATATTAGTCAGTTTTTTCTAATAAATGTGAATATAACAACCTAAACATAAAGCTGAATAATTTTAAATTACATTTTTTGTATTTATATAACATAATTTCATATAATACTACCAAAAAATATTTAATTTTGAGAATATTTTAGAATTGCATTTTTTCAATTTACATGAAAAAAAGTTATGTTTTTGTAGTACCTGTAGTAAATAGCTGAGGAAGTATTGAGAATTACGTCGATTTTTGTATAATATAAGCTTTACAATAGTAGTAAGCAATTTTTGAACTCTTAAGCAATGTAATTATTCCATATAAAAGGGAAATGCAGGGTAAGCAAATTAATAATGGTGGATAAAAGAATATAAAAGGAAAACATGAAAAGTATAGGGGAGCTGGACGAGACTGGACGTTTTGTCGAAGAAACATTGAGTTATGTATCAGGAAGTTGGACGCGAGTGTCTTTGTACGATTTAATTTTGTTTTGTGTTATATTTTGATATTACCTTTTTGACTTTGTGATTATTACGTTTCTTAAATAAAATAGCTATTTAAAAATCTGGACTTAGCGCAAATATTTTATATTCACCGTGTCCTTAGAATTGTGTTTTAAATTGTGTTTACAATTAAATTTTGAATAATTCAACAATTTATTACTATTAATTTTATACTAAATTAAAATTAGACATATATAGCAGGATTAATATTCTTATAATTTTTTGTTTATTAAATAATTTTTAGATCCATCAGTTGGTGAGCTTTATGAATTGCCATTAAACCATATGTCTATTTGCAAAGCCGAATCTAAGTAAGTATACAATTATTATGAAAAATAAAAATTGAGATTAATAATGTTAATTAAAAATATTAATTTCTAATTTTTTTCATAAATTCTGCACCCAATAAAAAAATATATTCATGTAATGATTACTTGTGTAATGTGATGTGGGAATAACCAAAATGAAACATAAAACACTTGTTATGGAAAAAATACAAAAACAATTTATTTATTTATTGTTTTGGACATGAAAATATTTGCCAAATTTATGATTTTAGGGCTTTGTTATTACTGAACTCAAAAAGAAAAAAAAATTATTATGATACTATCTCCAATATGCTTACTTCATTGAATCAATGGTGAACATTAACTAGTTAATAAGTTAAAGTTAAGTTAAAAAGTTAATTTTTCTAATAAACTTTTTAACTTAACTAATTTAATTTTTTGTTGAAATAATTTAGCTTTTTTCAGTTAATTAGTTAAAATATGTATGTAAAAAGTATGATGAATTTTATGACAGGCTAGGAACAAGTGAAGGCAGAAAAGAAATCTATAGACTTGCAAAAGTAAGAGAGAAAAGGTCTAAAGATTATCACTTTAAAAGGTGTATAAAAAGTGTTGATAATAGGGTGCTATCGTGTAATGATATGAAAAAGGTGGAAATAGTATTTTGAAAAATTACTGAATGATGAGTACCCAAAAGAGACATTAGAGGATTTCTCGTGGAATGAAGGACTGGTAGATTTAATTAGTGAGAAAGAGGTATAGGAGATTGTGGCATCAATGAAAAAGAATAAAGCAGTAGGACCAGATGAAGTGCCAGTAGAAGTATGGAAAATATTAGGTGATGTTGGCATAAGGTGGTTGAAGAAGGAACTTTTAAATAAAATCTTATTAGAAGGGAAAATTCCAAATGAATGGAGGGATAGTATTGTGGTGCCGATATTTAAAGGTAAAGATGACACACAAGAGTGTAGAAATTATAGAGGCATAAAGCTTATGAGCCATAGTATGAAAATTCGGGAAAAGATAATAGATAAGAGAATAAGAAATGAGACATCGGTATCTAAAAACCAGTTTGGATCTATTCCTGGTAAGTGTACAATGGAGCCATTATTTTGTGCGATGCAGCTAATAGAAAAGTTTAGGGAAAAAAAGAAAAAGCTGTGTATAGTATTTATAGATTTGGAGAAAGCGTATGATAGAGTACCAAGAAGTTTTAAAGTGGGCATTAATGAAAAAACGAGTTCCGAAAAGGTACATTAATATAATAGAGAATATATATGGCACTTGTACTAGGGTAAAAAGTGTAGAAGGAGTAACAGAAGTTTTTAGGGTAAGAGTAAGAGTGCACCAACGTTCTGCTTTAAGCCCTTACTTATTTTCTATAGTGACGGATGAAATTACTAGAGAAATACAAGGAGAGGTGCCATGGTGCATGTTGTTTGCTGACGATATAGTGTTAATAGGAAAAAATAGAGAGGAAATTAATCAAAGTCTAGAAGTGTGGAAATCAACTCTTGAAGAAATACGGAGGTCAGTGACTATAGGCGAGGTGGAAAGTTTTAAGTATTTAGGATCAGTTGTACAAAAAAATGGTGATATTGACGAGGATGTCAGACACAGGATTAAGTGAGGGTGGTTGAAGTGGAGGGAAGCGTCTGGTGTGTTATGCGATATAAGAATTCTAATAAAGCTAAAAAGTAAGTTCTATAAGACTGTAGTGAGATGAGTAATGATGTATGGTTTATAGTGATGTTCGGTTAACAAGAAAGTAGAGCAGAGTATGAGTGTAGCAGAGATGAGAATGCTTAGATGGATGAGTGGAGTGACTAGAAAAGATAGGATAAGGAACAAACATATAAGAGGGAGTATAGGTGTAGCATCAATCATGGATGAGATGAGAGAAAATAGACTTAAATGGTTTAGTCATGTTATGAGGAGAGAGAAATTGGAAACTGTAAAAATAGTTATGGAAATAAATGTTTAGAGAAGTAGAGGTAGCGAAAAGGCAAAAAAGAGATGGAGGGATGCTATTGAATGCGATTTGAGGACAGCTGATATAAGCGTAAATGATGTGGGCGATTGATGTCAAGTGGAAGTTTAGGATAAGGGTGGCCGACCCCAAGTAGTTGGGATTTAGAGGAGGAAGAAAAAGAAGATTTATTTAATGTTTTATGCATTAAAAAAAATAAAATTTGACAGTAGCTGGTTCTTAAAAATTCAATTTTTTAAGTAAATTGTTGTTAATTAGAATTTAATTTTTAGCGACTGTTAACATACATTATTAGTTATTTTTTAATGAATTAATAATTCAGGAAGTTTATTTTTATAATTACTATAGACTTAATTATTTAAAAAAATAGAAAATTTTATTTTGGTTGACTATTTTCAAAGTAATGGGCTTAGTAACTTTAATTAAACAATGAATAAGACTTCTTAGAGTAATGATAAGATCATTCAATTCTATTTGAATTATTAAATCAGAATAATTATTATTAATAGAAGGTCATGGATAAATTTTACATCAAATTATTTTCGTCTATCAACTTGTTTTTGATGATTCAATGTTTCAAGCATTATTTTAATTTCGATATTAGAACTTAACTTGAGTTAATTATTTTCATTAACTTGCCCCACTTTGCATTGAAACATTATTATATAGAAAAATTAAATCTCTCATAAGTTACTTCTTATTGTAAATTGTGTGGAATTACTACTATATGATTAAATTATTTTATTAAAATTACATAGGATGTATTGTATGCCAATAAATGTTTTGAAAAAGTTGTTAGAGTATAATTTTTTTTCTATTATAATTCTTGTGTGTACGTAAACTAATAAATAATTTGCTCATGTAAAATTCATAGTTTTATTAAATTTGTTTAAAAGTTTTTCAGTTAATAATTTTTAATTATTTTCAGATTATCTTTTGTGTATCAAAAAACGCTATCTGTGATAAAAACAATTGCTACTTACAGTAGTGTAGAATAGATCTACTATTTTTGAATGTATGTAATGCAAAATGTAATATATTTTCAATATAGACATAAAAAACGACCAAATAATATTAATTTAATCTTAATTAAGTTAGTGATACTTTTTAAAATAGTTACTTTTATTTTAATAACAAACAGTATTGATGTATAATTGTATTATAGAGTTTATATTTTGTTAATATTTATTATTTTTCTTTACATAATACATTCTTATAATGATTACATTTTTCTCTTTATTATTTTTAATGTTTAAACAATTAATTAATAAAGAGCTGCAGAAAAAATTGTTATATCAAAATTATTGTTATTATTAGTAAGTCAACCCTTAACATAATTTCTGCAAAGAAATTATGTTATAGAACTGATTAATAAAGTGGAAATATCCCGTAAAATTACATGGATTATTGCTAAAAATTTTTGATATTAATTTATACTCTTATTTTAACACAATGGGTTTTGCATAATTTTTTATCGTATTTTTTAAATATACATCATTGACAGATATTAATGGGGTTATAAAAATTAGAGAAAATTCATAGGTCTACTAGAAAAATTATATATATAATTTACTTACAATTGAATACTTCAATTTTTCTATTACAACAATTGAACAAAATTTTTGATAATTATAAGTTTATTTTAATAATATATATATATTTTTATAAAGCTTAACAAATATTATCACACTCATTCATTATTTATTTTTTTACAGCATATAAAACTAAATTGAAATGCACATATAAATTTTTTTTAGTATATTGATACATTTACAGCCAACTAATATCATAATAAATTAAAATTTATAACTTGACTAATTATATTATATACATGTACACAAACATTATAATTAATTATTGTTTTGATGTAGCAATTATATACTGTTATTTCTATTATTTTAAATTAAACAAATATATACCATTTTTAGCTAAATTGATTGTTTACTAAATATTTTATTGTGTACTATGAAACATATATACACATATGGCACAATAGAAAATTATTACTTGAGTAATTATTATAAAATATTATTAACAATTAATATTATGATTTATAATGGCTAACAAATCAATTTTAATATAAACCTGTTTAATGAAATAAAATAAAATAATTATTGATAAAATTTCCTAAGATTTTTATATTTGACTGTTAAACATTTTAACCACAGAGAATAAATTACAACAAATATTGTTAAGTTGAATACAACGTAAATGATATATATATATAATTTTATATTTTTTATGTGCTTATAATAAAATAATAATAAGGGTAAGTACTCTAATTCCATGAAATCACTATTATTAATATAAAAAATTTTTGAGTAAAATTTAAAAACTTCTATACCAATTTTTAATAAGTATAGAATATAAATTAAAGCTTGATTGAATAAAAAAATTAAACATATCAAAAATAATTAAAATACTCTTTCAATATTCGAATTGTTTCAATATAATTGACATTTTTGCTAAATAAACTTGTATAAAATTAATTATTTTATATTTAACAGTTAAAAAACATTTATTTTCCCTTAATAATCATAGTGAATATTGATTTAAAAGGATCATTTATCATTGTATAGCAAAAAGTATTTAAATATAGTGATTCAGAGAATTATATAATATCTGAGAATTTTATTTAAAAAAATAACAAATCAAAAATTATATTCAGTCTTGTAAAAAATAGAAATATTGAAGAAATAATCAAACCTCAAAGATGTGTGCCAAACAAGTATAGAATATTGCTGAATAATTAATTTGATACATTATATTATATATAACTTTTTAATTAAAATTAAATAAGATAACCTTAACATAATGACTATTCAATAAAATCTTCTTTGTTTTGGTGGGAATAAAAATGTTGTACTCCTTACTGATTCAACATTGACTTAAGCTAGACTAGATTAAAGTGGATTATGCTGTATATAATAAGTACCTTTATTACTATTTACATTTATCTTAAAAAAACTATTAAAATTATTATTTCTACAACTTCAAAATTTAAAACAGAACTGAAAATATTTTCATACTTATTAAAGATATTTTAGAAGATATTGTTATCGTTATTATTTTTTAATTAAATTAAAATTAAAAAATCTTTAGTTTTATAATGCTTAAAATACCATATTTTTTTGCATGCATACTTTATTAAACCATTATTTTAATCAATTTTAGTGGCCAAGAATTATGATTTAATTTAAAAATTATATTACAGAAAACCATTGAGCCTGATCATAGCAACATAAATATTTACAAAAAATAAAATAAAGTATTACCAAAATTAACAAATTATATAATTAAAAATAATTTAATTAGTTCAGGAATTTTTAAAATCCTTAAGTATATAGGAACTTGGTCTTGTTTATTTGGTACATAAGACTGAGTTTTAAGTTTTACGATCTACAATACGTAAACATAATTCATGATCACGGATATCACCCCAACCACCATTTCCTTTACGCAACACCTTCTTTTTAACTGGAGCATATGCCACTTCTAACTTATCTGGATACAAATATTTAGTAACTGAATTGAGCAATTTTTGAACTTTTGCTATCAATGCCATATCAAAACAACTTTTTTTATGGTGCACACCACTAAAATAGAGTGAGTAAATTATGTGTTAATAATTCTAATTCAAATAGTTAAATAATTACCATTCACCAATATGAAATACTCGAGGAGCTTTAAGTACAAAAGTTGTAAACTCATGGCTGAGACAATTGTTAGACACACTTTGTAAACTCCAGTCCCAATTATAATCATCATATTTACAAAAAGTATCAGCACAATCAACAATTTTTTTCCAAATAGTACGGTTGTACGCCATTCCCATATTATGCTTACTACTAATCCATTGTGATATCTCTGCCTGTGTACAAGTAAAATGGAAATATAAGCTATGTAATTCGTAAATTTTATAGTATTAGAAAAAAATAATTAATTGAACGATAGCCGAGTAGAACTGTGTAATAACATTTAATACGAGCGAGTTATTTAGAAAACTACATACCATTTTTTCATAAAAATGTATATATTAAAATTTGATTTATTTTTGTAAACCATATTAAATATCAAGTTTATTGTAAAAAATAAAAATATGGTAGTTTTTAAGGGTAACTTTCAAAAATTAAATTATAATTATTTTTTTTTAAATTACATGGAAAAAAGTCTAAATAAAATTTGGCATGTCAATAACCAGTTTTGTAGTATTCATTTTTTTAATTTTTCGTTATGGGTGAACAAGTGAAAGAATTATTTTCTGTGTGTTATAGTAAAATTAGAATATCACTAACATTACCCCGCTCTAGTGGCATAACCAAGGAAGTGTCAATATGATGCCCCACTGACATATTCATCTTTAAAACGAATTAATGAGCAAAAAAAAACATGGTATAAAATATAATATTTTGTCGACTTTTTTAAATGGCCCCTCGTGAAATCCTGATTACGCCCTACTGCCTCGCTCATCATTTTTCTAAAATTTTAAATCTTAATATCTAAAAAAGTAATATTACAAAGTGGGTATTAACCAGTCAATATTTTATTTAGACCATTCTCCATTTAACAGTAAAAAAATAATAATAGTTTCTGATTTAACTATCGTAAGTTACTCCTATAATCTACTCTTAAAAATAATTTTTCCTTGCAATAAACTTTATATTTTTTCTATGGTTCATAAAAAATAGATAAACTTTAAATCTGTACATTTTTATGAAAAAAATATACTTAATAAATCACACAGTATAAAATTTTTATATAATAGCATTCCAAAAAATAAACTAAATTTGAAAAACTGTTACATAGCACTTTATTCTTACACATGCTTCTCAATTATTCATGAAATAATAATATTCAATTACTGATTATTATTCCATTAAAAAAACATTTACTAAGCCTAGTCAATAGCTGTCAATAGGGATTATTAAAAATAATAAAAATTTACATCGTACGAAATTTTGCACTATCTTACTTCAAATTAGATCATACAAACTATTAAATAGTATAATTAAAAATAATATAGTTTGGTTTACCAATTTATGATAGAATTTTTAATTTAAATTTAGATCAAGTACTATAACTTTTTGTGTAAAACTTTTAAGATATTTCAATTAGAATAAATAAATTTTAATTTTGTTGAATTTACTAAAAGCCGATAGTTCTTGAAATGTAAATATTTCGCGTTTCTACCGGCATAGGTTAAATAATTTAAAAACCTGAAGCTTAAATAAATAAATAAATTATAGCTTAAAAAAGGTAATTATTATATGTTTTATGTAGTTTTTAAATTTTTAACTTGAATAATACAAATATACTACTAAATTTCATTTCATAATTACTCATTATTCATAAGCCAAAATTTCTAAAATTCTCATCGTCTTTGTTGAAGTATTTTAAAGTAGTAATTTTTAGCTTCGATGCGAAGCTGAGAAGGTATTGGTTTTACTAAGATGTGTTTTTTTTTTTTTTTTTTTTTGTGTCTGTTACCACTTTTTCTCAGCTCTCGCCGAACCGATTTCTTTCAATGATACGTCAAAAGATCACAAATCGTATCTAGTCGAAGACATTACCCTTAAAAATTGAAAAAAATTCCCTCGTTCCCCGTAAAAGGGGGAAACCTCCAAAAAAATTACAAATTTAAAAATCGCTAATTTTCGAAATTTTCGAAATTTTTTTTACTAAAAACTGCCATAACATTTTCAAAAATAAACATATCAATATAATTCTTTTTTATATAGATGCATAATATCATTACCTTTCATTTGGTATATTTTTTTCATAAATTTAACCCTTAACCTGCCCACAAGGGGGGATTTAAAATGACAACTTTTTCA